ACCAGCGAGGTACTAGTGCTTGCATGTCCACATTGTTACGCAATGTATGTTGAATTGACTGTTGAATAGGCGGCCAGCCATCCAAATAAGGCCAGCCAAATAGACTAGAGGAGTGCTGATGGCCCTTTTCTAGCGTTAGCCCATTTCCCGAATACTTCACAAAACCAGCTTGACTGTTAGCAATCGTAACGCCCGTCGTAAGCTCCCATCCCTACTGACGAACTCTGATGGGTTCCGGTACCCTTCCCCCCAGCCTCCGTTTCCCTCAGATCTCAGATGCTCGGTGGGTTTCGGGGGAGTTGAACTGGTGCGGGAAGGGGAAACGCGCCTCCCATCAGACAGCGGCTGGATCCGATGACGACGCTGCCAAGGCCACCAACTACTTCGACGAGTCTGACTTGGAGGCTCCGACCCTCAAGCTTGCGAAGAAGATGCGCTCGCATTTGCCGATGTCGCCGCAGCCCCCGCCATCGCGCGCGCTCAAGAGCGGATCGGCTGGCAAGGTGCCTGGCAGAGCCCCTTCCTCGCGCGGTGGATCTAGCGCAGGTCCTGGCAGTGCCAAGAAGTCCGACGGGAGGCAGGGCGTCGCTGCGAAGTCAGTTCGCGCCGCCGACGAGCTTGAGGACGACGAGGCTGATGCTGAGGATGAGCTGGGGCCTGAGGCTGAGGAGAAAGAGCGAGTGTGGCCAGAGTTCGAGAAGAGGATGGCCCCAGCCGCGTTCGCTGCCATGAAGAGGGAGTTGATCTCGATGTTCAAGCAGGCGCTCAGGGCGATCCCCTACAGCAGCGAGGCCAGCTTCAAGAGGCTGGACAAGGGCTACGACCAGGTCAAGGACGACGGCGACGTGGCGACTTACAAGTACAAGGAGACCAAGAGTGACTTCACCCAGAAGGTCAGCGAGCTCGACAACGACGTGAACGGCATCAAGGCGTGGCGCCAGACGAGTGACTCCAACCAGGCCAGTGGCGATCTCATCAAGAAGCTGGAGGAGATCCAGACGGAGGCCAGTGCGCTAGAGGAGATCGCCGCTGGCATCGCGGAGGTGAGATGGCAGCAACAGAAGGGCAAGGCCAAGGACAAGCGGGAGCAGACGACCCAGCTGAAGAAACGCGTCACCATGTTCGAGAACACTGGGATGCCGCAGGCGCTCGCGGCGGAGTTCGGCGGCCTGGTGCACGAGAATAAGGCTGTCATTAAGACAATCCTCCTTCTCCTCCTCCTCTTCCTTATCACCCTCGTCATCATCCTGCGTCCCCTCCTCGTCTTCATCCATCCCCACCTGCCCACTTTCTCAGCGCTGCCCTTCCCTGCTCCCCCTGCTCCGTCGGCCATGGAGGGTCCGTTCCATGCCCAGCTGCAGGAGTTCGACACTGGAGCCATGAGTAAGCTCGGAGCTGCCATCACGGACAACTGGGACATCATCGTGAGAAAAACGCAGAATGACGAGAAATTGATGACCAACCAAGCTGCGATGGCGTCGATCGCTCTGGGCAAGTGTCTGGGCGAGGTTGACTTCCGCGTGGAGTTCAAGGGCGGGGCCTTGGAGGCAAACGAGGCGTGCGTTGAGTTGGGTCGCAAGCCGTTCCTGGTGCTGACGAAGAACCTTTCCTGGAGCTGGAGTTCGAACAGCTGGCCGTTCCCTGGCTTGCCGTCCTTCGTGGTCAACGTGGGCCCCCCCCCCCCACTGTGCTGCTCAAGCTCGCGGCAGCGGGCTCTCTTCACCGCGGCGGCCTCACGGCTCTCAGCGCCTTGCAGCAGTGGGCCAAGAGCAGCGGGGATGATTGCTGCAAGAACGCATGGAAGGAGTCGTCAACAGCTTTCTTGAGCAAAGGCGACTCGAATATCTTGGCCTCGTTTAAGGGCCCCGTGGTTGACTACATCGGGGAGGTCGGGGAGTAGGCGGATACTCCAGCCCGCCGACCGTGCGGACGCATGCTGTCGCTGAGGGCGAGCGCATCGCTGCGGCCTGCGCGGGCAGGCCTGCTGCCAGCTGGAGCAGACTCGGCTGGCGCCCAGCACGCAGCGTGTCAAAGTGCAGTGGGCGCGCGCACGGAGGAGAATGAACGATGGGGGGTGGGAGGAGGAGGAGGGCATTGTTAAACGTGCGGGCGATGCATAGGATGCGCAATGACATGTTGAGGATGACGAACGGGTGAGGAAGGGCGCCGCGTGATGGGGCATGAAAGGATCACAGGGGATGGAGACGGATGGGGAGAGGGAGCGGGGAGGAGTAAGCTTATGAGGGCTACGGGGTGAGGGGGGGGCCTGGCGACGATCGCGAACCCAGCGACAACGACGGCCTGGGTGACGATTCGGGCGACGATCGTGCTGATGAAGATGATGGGCATGAAAACGAAGGCGACGACAACGACGGCATCAAAACCGCTTCGCGGCGACACCGCGGGAAAGGGGGGATGGAGATGAGGGTTGGGGGGGGGGGGGGGGGGGGGGGGGGGGGGTCTCGGATAACGTAAAACGAGCGGTGATGATAGTGACCCTGCGATGGAAGAGGGAAGCGAACGGGGGGCACGGACGGCGATGGGGATCATGAGGATTTATTGGGGTTCCGATTGGTAGTGACAGAGTGGGGGGTTCATGGTGATGTCGGTGATGCACCTGGGTAGGATGGCGCTCGTGCGCATATTCTAGCCGCGTCGAATGCACAGATGCTCGATGTCCATGATAATGATGCGGAGGGCACGGGGGGCGCGCGGGAAGGGCGTAAAGGAAGGGGGGATCGTGGATGACATGAGAAAGGACGCGGGGGGGGGGGGGGGGGAATTGTGGAGAGGATGAGCAGGGCGAGGAGGACAGATAGGACGCACGCACTGGGGGGAGAGGAACACCATGAGGAGGGCGGGGAACGAGGAGGGCGCCAATGTAAGTAAGCAGACCCGAATTTCTTCGAGTCGATCAACTCGGCGATAACGCGGATGCCAATTTGGCATCCGCATTATCGTCGAATAGATCGGCTCTCTTCGGCATCGGCACCCGCGTCTCTACAAAGATACGTACTGCCGAGTTCTCCGTCATCGTGGTCATAGCCACCGCCCTCGCCGTCTGCGTCGGCGCCGCGTCCGTCGCCGACGGCGGAAACGAGATTGACAGAATCTGCGACGACGATGGCGGTGACCACGATGGCGTGTTCTATTGCGCCTTGCGTTCTACGTCTCTGTATGCCTCTTTCTTCCGCTCTCCTCGGCCTCTCTATCCCGCCACTCCTGATGGTATCTATCCGTCTCCCCCTGGCCATGCTCCGCGACCCTCGCCTCCCTCGTGGCCCCGCGCCGCCCCGCGCAAGCTGCTGCGGGCAGCTGCGCGGGTGCCCAGCCAGAGAGGATAAATGAGCGCCAGCGGGTTTTAGTACTGCCTCCCGCCGCTCCCGCCAGTCGGTTTCAAGTTCTAGTTCCGACGCTCGCCTTCGTTGCGTAGCTAGCCCCCCTGTAACCTGCACGGCATCTTTATTGTTGGACCCTGGGGTTCTAAATGCTTAAGTTTCCAATGTTATGACACATGGGATTGGCTTTAGTTTTAGCAGCAACTGGCTTCAGCGCCTGGAACCACCAGAAAACCATTACAAAACCATTACAACCTTGACATACCTTTAACGAGCCCACTGCACGCCAGGATGTCGTTCCCTGGAGACTACGCAGGCGCAGCTGGGGCAGCGCGCGCGGGCTGGCGCCGCTGCGCTGAGCAGCCGCCCGGCAGCGAAGAACGCGGCGGCGCCGGGCGCTGCGCGGGCCCTGGCGAAGCGGGCGGTGGAGCTCTGGGCGGCGATGGCGCGGGCGAGGCCGGCGAGGGCGGGGAGGTCGCGCTGGGCCGCGACGCCCGCCGGGGCGCGAACGTCGATCATGCGCGACTTCTCCCAGGATCGCGCGGCAGCGGCCGGGCGCGCTGTTGGAGAGCGGGCTGGCGCACCTCGAGGGCCAGTTCACCCAGCCGCTGGCCGACGAGAGCCCCGTCGATCCGCTCGGCCTTTGCGTCGCGCAGTACCTCAACGCGGCGTTCTTTGTGGCGCGCCCGCCGCCGTCGCTGGAGGTGGGCGAGGCGCGCGCGACGCGCGCCCTCGGCGAGGCCATCGACGGGCTGCTGCGCGGCCAGGTCGTCGAGGTCAGCGACTTGCTCACGCGGGTGATCAAGGCCAGGGCGACGGCGTTGCGGGACGGCCCCTGGCGCAGCGCCCGCGGGCCCACGCTGATCCCCAGCGAGAGCGTGCCGACCGGGGCCTCGCAGGACGAAGAGGCGGCTGCCGAGCGCGTCGAGGCTCGCGAGATGAAGGTCGCAGAGCTGAGGCGGCGGCTTGCCGAGAGGAGGCCGCCGGGGTGAGGGCCCGGCCGGGGGCCCTTCCCAGATCGGGGGGGAGCGGCCCCTGCAGGCCATGCCCTCGCGGAGGCGAGAGCCCAGACCCCAACGGGGGCGCCCGTGGCCGGCTCGGCCGGGGCGTTCCGGAGCCCGGCGGGCCGCGCGCCAGGAAGCGAGGGCTGGCAGACGGCGGGCAAGCGGGCAGCGGTGGCGCCGCCGCCCGCGGCAGGAGCAGGCGAGGCGCCAGTGCGCCGCGTGGAGCTGCTCGTCGACGGACGCGGCGGCAGGCGCAGCCACAGCCCCCGCCGACCAGCCGCGAGACCTGACCTTCAGGGGGGCGAAGGCGGCCAATCCGGAGCAGCCAAACGAGAGCCGGCACGAGTGGAGGTCGCGCGTGGGCCTTTCCCGTTTGGCCCATCGAGCAGGGCAGGGCCGCGAAGGCGGAGCAGGTCGCGGCCGCGCGGGCTGTCATGGCAGGGTGCAGCTGCGGCCGCGGGCCCCGGCGGCGGGCCGCTGAGCTGCCCGCGGGAGTTGAGCGAGGGGGGGCCGCGTGGGCCTTCGGGAGATCGCGCCGCCGCGCGCCCGCTACCGGTGCGCGGCGAGAGCGCGGCCCCCCTCGCGACGGCTGCCGCGGGCTCGGCGCCCCGGGCCGCCGCGGCGGAGGAGCGCAGCATGCGTGGGGTCTGCGCTGGAGGAAGCTGCTGGCTGGTGCCGGCGGCAAGGGCTGCAGCTCTCGCTTCCAGCTGGTCGTCGCTCTGCGCGACTTCGCGCATGAGGCGCCAGGGGGCGTCGGGCGCTTCATCGGCAGCGCTCCGCCAGTGCAGCGCGTGCGCCTCGAGAGAGTTCGCGAGGTGTTGCCGCTGCCAATTCCCGACGCCCCCGGCTTCCTGGCGCGCCGCGCCGAGTGGCTGGACCGAGGGGGGGTGGGCGCGGCCGGCCTGGGCGCGGCCGTGGCAGAGGGTTGGGCGGTCATGGTCGCGCACGCGCAGAACTACCAGTGCGCGGGCCACGGCAAGGGGGGCCCAGTGCCGAGAGGGCCGCTGGCCGCGTCGCAGAAGAGCTCGACGCGCGCGATCAGGGAAGCCGCTACCTACTTCGCGCGGGGCTCGGCTCAGGAGATCGAGGCCCCCGACTGGACCGAGGTAGTTGCCGCGAGGGACGTCGCTTACGGCGGCGAGGAGGTGTCGCGCGCGCTGGGCGGCGCGCTGCCGGGGCTGCCAGCGCGCGGCGTCGCCGCCTCAGTTCGCGCGCTGGAAGTCGCGGACGAGCGCGCCCTGCTAGCGAAGGCCGAGTAGCCAGAGGAGGTCCCGCGGGCTGCCATCCAGGCTAGCTCGATGGCGGAGTGGCATCGCGTCGGCGCCAAGCTCGTGGAGTTGGCTTCGCCGCGCCCATTGCCGACGAGCGGATCTTCAAGGTCGGAAACCAGAAGGTTCTCGCGGGCGCCTGCGGCGCGGCCGAGAGCGGGGCGTCGACGCCCGGCCACTCAGTGGCCCAGCGGCCCATCATCAACATGGCGCCCGCGAACTGCTACCAGAGGACGATGAGGGGCGACGTCGGGGCGATGAGTGCTTCGCCGTCTTGGGTCGCCATCCCCCTTCCGGAGGGCCACGTCCTGCTCAGGTCGCCCCATGTTCCGGCGCCATTTGTTTGGTTTTGCTACGAGGTGCCCGAGGCCCGGCAGCCCTACACGACGCTCACCGAGGCCATCCCGAACGAGCTCATCGGCATTAGCGGCCCAGGGCGAACACACATTGCGCTGCACGTCATCCCGATGGGTTGGGTCAACGCTGTCACGCAATTCCAGCACTGCCACCGGCAGCTGGGGCTTGGGCTGAAGCCGCTTGCTGCGGGCTTCCCGCCGGAGGCGGAGTGGCGGAAGGACCGGCCGCTGCCGCTCAAGTCGAAGCAGCTGGAGCAGGCCTGGGTCCAGTACTACCTCGATGACTGGGACCACGGTGAGATCGTCCCAAACAGCCTCGCGAACGACCTCGCGGGGTCCGCGAGCGCGGCGCAGGCTGAGCAGCGCGAGGCCTACGCGCGAAGCGGCATCGCCGTCGCCCAGGACAAGGCGAAGCACCGGGAGCTGATCCTCGCGCGGATGGGCGCCGGCGTCGACGGCGTCACGGGCCGCGTGGGGGTCGCGACCGAGAAGCTGCACCTCCTGCTCGCGCTCACCATGTGGGCCATGGGCCAGCCGGAGGTCACTGTCAAAGCGATGCTCGTGGTTCTGGGCAGGTGCGTGCGCGGAGCAAAGTCTCAACGTCTTTTCATGGGCTTCTTGAGTGACTGCTGGGCAGTTGGCCAGTGGGCTTGCCCGCGCGCGGTCCCGGCGCACGTGCGCGCCGAGCCGCTGCTGTTCTGCATGGCCCTCGCCCTGGCGTGCACCGACCTGCGGGCCAAGAACGACGCGCGCGTGGTCGCCGCCGACGCGAGCGAGCAGGCCGGGGGGATCTGCTACTCCGCTGGCCTCGTCGAGCGCGGCTTGATGGCAGCGCCCGGCGAATGGGGGGCTGTGCGAGGAGGGCCAGCGGCCTGATTTTCAGGCGCCGCAGACCGTCAGGTGGTGGCCGCGCGTCGTGCTCGTCGAGCTCTTCGCGGGGGCTGCTGCGGTCGCCGCGGCTGCGGCGCCGCTTCCGATGGGCGCGGTGGCCCGCCTCAGCTCGGAGATAAACTCTGTTGCGCGGAGGCTGGTCCGGCGCCGCTGGCCGGGCGTGATCGAGCTCGACAACGTCGACGCCATTGGCTGCGAACGCTTCGGCAGGATCCTCGAGGGTTTCAGGCGCGACGCCGACTGGGTCGCCATCGCGGCGGGCAGCCCGCGCCAGCCCGCGCCAGGACCTGTCCTCGCTGAAAGTGATTGGCAAGGGCCTCGAGGGCGAGAGGCCGAAGCTGTGCGGGGAGATCACCGAGCTCATCGAGACTGCCGATCGGGCGTTCGTCAGGCGGGCTGGCTGGTTCGTCGAGAACGTCTTCAGCATGGGCGTGGAGTCGAGGGGCCAGTTCGCAGAGGCGCTGGGGGTCATCCCGCTGCTGCTGGGCGCGGAGCATTTCACGCACGCGCAGCGGCCGCGTCTCTTCTGGCGCCCCTGGCCCGCCGCTGAGGACCCGCCGCCCGGCGCGGTGGTCGCCGAGAAGGGCGAGGGTCTCAGCCGCTACCTGAAGGTGGAGGTCGCGATGCAGCGCGCGCCAGCGGCGCTGGCAGCTGCTGGGCCCAGAGGTGGACTTGCCCTGCTTCGCCCGGCCTATAACGCGGCGCCGTCCGCCACCGCGCCTGGCGGGGCTGGAGCGGGCAACAGCTGCAGCGCAGGGGCGGGCGAGGCCCTCCTGCGGGACCGAGCCCGGTCGCAAGGTATCTAGGCTGCCCGTTGCCGAGGAGCGCGGCGTTCTCACGGGGCTCGACCGCCGCCGCTATTTCGAGGCTGCAGTCAGGGACAGCGTTGCGCCTGAAGCACGGGCTATCATTATGGGAGGTCTCATCGGCAATGCCTACTGCGTCCAGTGCGTTACGTTTCTTCTTTGCTTTTGGCTGGCCCAAGTCGGGGCCCTCGCCGCGGCGCCGCCGGGAGAGCTATGCGTGCGCGCCGGCGAGCGAGAGGCCAATTTGAACATCGACGCAGACTTCAAACGGCCGGGCCTCCGGCATCCCACGGCGGAGCGGAGCCTCATCATCGAGTTCTTGCGCGTCGCCGACCGCGGTGACGCGGGCGTCAGGCTGGACTGCAACGCCCCGTACAGGGCGCGCGCCTGGCCGAGGTCGGCGCGGCGGACTTCGCTGCGGGCCCGGCGGGTCGCCGAGAGTTTCCGCGGCAGGAGCGAGGTGGGGGTGCCGCGACGTCGCCGTGCACCGCTGCCTCTACCTGCACCTGCTGGATGCCCAAGCGGTCGCAGTCGCCTGCTCCAAGTGCAGGTCGAGCGCGAGGCGGCTTTAGCCAGGGATGCTGTTGGCAGGCCGCCACCCGCTGCACGGCTGCTGCGGCGCCGACGACACGCCCGCCGATGCTCAGAGGCCAGCAACATATGTACACGTACGCGGTTAGCTTCTCCTGGAGTGCGCGTCAACGCGGACGTTCGCGCAGGCAAGACCGCGGAGGGCGTGCATGTACATATGTCGTTGCTCGCCCAGATGCGCCGTCGCGCTGGGCACGCGCACGCGGCATCCAAATCTCGGAGAGTGGCAGCAGAGGCGCTGGCGCGGAGGGCTGCGCCCCGGAGCCGACCCCTCCGCGAGGCGATGGCGACGCCGCTCGCGCGCCAGCGGTACCAGCAGCCAGTCAACAGCATCTTCGACTGGTGGCTGGAGCAGCAGCGCGAGGTCACGACGCCAGTCCAGGCCGATGCGGGCCTCGTGGGCTACATTGAAGGCCGCTGGGCAGCAGGGGGTTCGCTGTTCGAGGTGAACACCGCGATCGCTGGGATGTGCTGCCACTTCCCCCTGCTGCGAGGCCACCCGCGGGAGAGCTGGCGCTTGGCTCGGACGCGGCAGCGTCGGGGGCCAGCCGGGCGTGCGCTGCCCATTGGCCCGCTGATCGCGCTGGCGTTCTCTGTCGATTTCGTCGTCGCGGGCTTCCCTTCGGCCGCGGCGGCGCTGCTTTCCGCGTGCGACACCTACCTCCAGGCGAGGGAAATTGCGGCCCTTCGGTGGGCAGACATCCCGCTGCATGAGGGCAGCGGCGCGGCCATGATCAGGCTGCGCGACGCCAAGGGCCAGCGCCAGACAGGAGCTGGTGAGTTCGTGATGGTGCGCCCCGGGCCGGCAGTGCAGCTGCTGGCGACGGCGCGCCGGCGGCGCCGCAGCTCCTCGCAGGGGCGCGAGCAGCGCGAGGAGCGAGCGCTGGGCACGTCGCCGGCAGCGTTCCACCGCGTCTTCGCGGATACCAGGCCCCTTCTGGAGCTCGACTGCCAGAAGCTGACGCTGCGCCGCTGGAGGCGCGGCGGCGCGTCGGCCGACTTCCGCGCCCACGGCTCGATGGTGACGACGCTCCTCAGGAGGCGCCGGGCGAGCGTCCGCGCGGCAAGGCTGTGCGTGCAAGACGCCGTGGAAGAGGCGACGACGCTCGACCTCTCGCCCGCCCAGCGCACTCGCTGCCTGCAGCTGGCACAGCGAGTGCAGAATCGCTCGCTGTCTGCCCGCCCTTTTTTTCCGCCCCCCTATCCTAACCTTCAAGAAGGACGGAGGACGAGGAGGAGGAACGCGCTCAGGAGTTCTCGTGGGTTGGAGCTTGCTGTCAGGGTGCCCAGTAAAGGGTCCGTGGAGAGTAGTTGCCAGACTCTTCCCAGGCGCGGAGTGTCCTTGCGGCCTCCGGGGGTGCCCAGGCGCGCCTTTCCCGGCCGGCGTTTCGCCGCGCGCAAGGGAGGGGCATGCTTGGCCCTCCGATTGTGGGAGGCCTGTCGGGGGGGGGGTTCGGGCCCCGGGCAAAGCGATTTTGGGCGGAACGCTCAAAACGGGGGAGGGGGATAGAGCATATGGTATCATTACAAGGGGGCCTATGCGGCCCCCCCCTTCCGAAACGAGCCCGCCTTTTAAACCACGTTTAAAACCTGCAGTCGTTTCGGCCCCCCCGTGAACGATCGAGGAGGCCTCTGTGAGAGGCTGGCGAGTAGAGGCGGTCTTTGGCGCCTTCACGCGCCTCGGGATCCGCCTTGTCAGACCCTCGCCGTCGACAGGTTTTCCCAGGCGCGGAGTGTCCTTGCGGCGTCCGGGGGTGCCCAGGCTTGCTTTTCCCGGCCGGCGTTTCGCCGTGCGCGAGGGAAGGGCATGCTTGGCCCTCTGCCTGTGGGAGGCCTGTCGGGGTGGGGGTCGGGCCCCGGGCAAAACGATTTTTGGCGGGGCGCTCATAATAGGGGGATGGAGCATACATATATGTATGTATATATATATGTGTGGGAGAGAGCGTATGCATGTAAGTATATAGTTGCGTATACACGTACACATACATGAAAACCACCTATACCTATACATATATATATATATATATCTATATGTATACTCACATATATACGCATATGTGCAGGCATGCGCGTTTACCAATGTATGTGCTTGCGCCGACATACGTAACTTTACAATGTCCTAACAACTGGCACGTTATGTGCATGTATACGTATATGTATACAGATGCGCACATACATATATACATCCGTAGCACCCCGCAGTTGCGGATAAGAAGCCCGCCTCAGGCACTAGTATTGCACAGATTGTTGACGCTTCGCGAATCCCCCCCAGCCCATGCAGCAATGATGCCCAGAGGAATTGTCTCGACCAGGGAAGTGGGCAGCACACAGAGGAAGCCATTATGAGACATCTTGGGATATCTTGAGCCATGTTGGAAGTCATTTTGGGCTCTCCCAGGCGCTCTTGGAGTCATCTTAATCAGTGTCCCCCCCAAACAAGCTAACATGTGGCTATAACCTTCGTGAAATCAATGATTGGGCATTCTCGCCGAGGCCTCTTGGAGCATCTTGGGTGCTTTGCGGGGGGTCTATTTGGGCCTTGTGGGGGTCTCGTGGGAGCCTCCTGGGGGCCTCTTGAGGGCCTTGGGGCCATTTTGGGGCCATCTTGGGACCTCTTGGGGCCTCCTGGGCGCTTTTTGGGGCCATCTTGGAGGAGATCGATCACAGGAGGGGGGTGTTCAATTAGCGTCCCCCCCCCAAGAGGCCAAAATTGGGCCAAAATCTTTACTGAGTTTTGCTTCCTCGCCGAGGCCGTTTTGGACGCCCTGAAACCTCGCGGCCCCCCCCCCTCCCCTCCAGGTCCAGGGGAGAGGGTAGGGGGAAGGGTAAACCCCTTCCCGAAGGGGAAGTGGGAGGGGTGGAAGAGGAAACGCTGTAAATCACCGACGTCCAGAGGGCTGGTGGGATTATACACCGAGCCCGCCGCAGGGGGGCATATTTTTTCCGTTAACGCAATGTTGTTGGGTCGCGGGGTGGGTCGTAGCTGGGTCGCGGGTGGTCGCAGCTGGGTCGCCGGTGGGTCGCGGGCGGGCCGCGGGGTGGGTCGCGGGTGGGTCGACGGGTGGGTCGTGGGTGGGTCGCAGCTGGGTCGCGGGTGGGTCGCGGGCCGGGTCGCGGGCCGGGTCGCGGGTGGGTCGCGTGGTGGGTCGCGGGTGGGTCCTTGTTGGGTCGCGGGTGGGTCGCGGATGGGTCGCTGGAGGGTCGCGGGTTGGTCGCGGGTGGGTCGCGGGATGGTTCGGGAAGAACGACGACATTAAACAAGCAGCAACAAACAGCAAGCAACAAGCAAGCACAGCAGTAACATCAACAACAACAACAACAACAACATCAGCAACACCACCACCACCACCAATAACGACAGCAATAACAACAGCAATTATCTTACCCTCATGCGCGGCGATGCTTCCACACGAAGAATGCGACCATCATGATAACCATCCCTTTAATGGGGGACTATTGTTCTATAGCGGGGTCTGTCATTCCCATTCTCAGATCTCCCGCCCAATGAGGGTCTTGCAAATACATCCTGCGATTAAGGTTCAACATATCTTTCCTCGAATACGCATGCCCGCGCCTTGCTGCGCAGATGCGAGACCGCCAGTGGAACCGCAGCCAAGGGTAAAGCACAAGGAAGTATCGAGCGACAGGATTGCCTTGGTGGAGATGGGGGCTGTCGGCGGCGAGGCAAGGACCTGGCCCTGAATAGAAAGGGGTGAAGTGTCGAGCAGGGCCGCTGTTGTTGCTGGGAGCGGCGCAAATGCTGAAGGGAGTAGGGCGGTAGTCCAGCGTAAAACAAAACGAAAACTCGAGCGGGAGCGCTGGTTTTGTTGGGACGGCGGTAGTCGGCGGCGAGGAGGAACACCTCCTTGAGGAAGAAGGGAGGAAGTCTCGAGCGTGAGCCGTGTTTTTGTCTGGACGGGGGCTGTCGGTGGCGAGGAAGAGCACCGTCTTGAGGAAATATAGAAGAAACCTCGAGCGGGAACGCCGTTCTTGCTGGGAACGGCGCCAATTCAAAAGAGAGTAGGGCGCCAGTCCAGTGTAAAACGGGAGGATGTCTCGGGCGGGAGCGCTGGTTTTGTCGGGACGGCGGTTTTCGGCGGCGACGAGGAGCACCGCCTTGAGTAGAAAAGGGAGTAGGTCTCGAGCGGGAGCGTTGTTGTTGCTGGGAGCGGCGCCGATGAGAGAAACAGTAGCGCGCCAGTTGAAGGTAAAAAAGGGAGGAAGTGTCGAGCGGTAGCGCTGGTTTTGTTGAGACGGCAGCTTTCGGCGGCGAGCAAGACCACCGTCCGAAGGAAAAAAAAGAAAAAGCCTCGAGCGGGAGGTTGTTCTTGCCGGGAACGGCGCCAACTCAACAGAGAGTGGGGCGCCAGTCCAGCGTAAAACGGGAGGAAGTCTCGGGCGGGAGCGCTGGTTTTGTCGGGACGGCGGTTTTCGGCGGCGACGAGGAGCACCGCCTTGAGTAGAAAAGGGAGTAGGTCTCGAGCGGGAGCGTTGTTGTTGCTGGGGGCGGCGCCGATGAGAGAAAGAGTAGCGCGCCAGCCCAAGGTAAAACGGGAGGAGGTCTCGAGCGGTCGCGCTGGTTATGTTAGGACGGCGGCTTTCGGCGGCAAGCAAAAGCACCGGCCCTGACTGAAAAAGGAGGAAGGCTCGAGCGGGCGCGTTGTTGTTGCTGGGGGGCCCGTTTTGGCGCCCCCCCAAACCGTTCGAGCGTGAGCTTCATTTTCAATGCACATGTAGCCGGTGACGAGGCGATAGCGCTAAAGCGCTTGGGGGGTCCAGCAATAATGATTCTTTAGCAGCTATACAACAGCAACAGCAACAACAACAACAATCCCCACCTCAAAACCTCACTTCAGCCACGCGCCAAAGGACAATGAATGACCGTTCGGCCCCTCATGTATGTATATATATATACATATGTGTATACGCACATATATATATAGATAGATAGATGTAGGTATATGTGTATATGTCTATAAATACATGTATGCATAGCCACGAAGCCTCTCCTGGCGAAGTTGTTGCGCGGATCTGATGAACGCGGAAGTCTGGGTTTGCCGGGGGCCGATCATTTCTTACGTGCCAAGGTATGTGTTCACATTGGGCAGTGGGGTGGTGGCGAGTGCCAGCCTCCTTTTAGCGAGGTTGGGCCACATTCCTTGCTTATGTAATCCGCCGGCCCCCCTGTGGGGCCACCAGGCTGTAGGCCTAAGCTTCGCAGTTTCCTGTGCCAGTTGCAGCTTTCAGTTTTCCACTGTTACAGTTCTGCTTCTTGCTGCTTACTGTCCCTTGTTGACTTATTGCTGCTTATTGTTCCTTGTTCATGGACCGCGCGAAGGGGGGAGGCCCAAAACGGGCATTTTTACCACGCCCTGGGAGGGTTCTCAGAATTTCTGGGGGGGGGGGAATTGAACCCCCTCACGCAGATCGGTGGGGTCAGGGTCCAAAAACACAAAAGATTTGCCACATTTCTGACATTCGATGGCACCCCTCACGCAGATCGGCGGGGTCAGGGTCCAAAAACACGAAAGATTTGCACATTTCTGACATTCGGTGGCACCCCTCACGCAGATCGGCGGGGTCAGGGTCGAAAAACCATTAGGGATTTTCCACATTTCTGAAATTCGGTGGCACCCCTCACGCAGATCGACGGGGTCAGGGTCCAAAAACACAAAGGATTTGCCACATTTCTGAAATTCGGTGGCACCCCTCACGCAGATCGGCGGGGTCAGGGTCCAACAACACGAAGGTCTTGCCACATTCCTGAAATTCGGCGGCACCCCTCACGCAGATCGGCAGGGTCACGACGTCTTACCAATCGCCAGGTGTGGTAACCCCTCTGGTCATCTATTGGTTTTGCTCATTACGAGTCGGCCTCGCATGAAGTTCCGATACTGCTTCACGACAGCGCCCGGGCCTCATGACATAGTTCTTGCATAGCGCATTCTCCCCGAGAGGGGGCCGGCGGCAGGGGGCGAAGCCTTACGGATTTTCTCTGGACTTCCCACCGTCCTTTGGCCGTTGGCCTCGCAGCCCGGACGCGCGGACGCGGCCTTCGCCCAGTGGCCCTGTCTGAGAACCTGCTGGGCTCTGGGGAGTCTGAGCTAAAGTGGGCGCTTGGCTGACAACCAGACCCGTCCAAGGTGTTTATCAATTTCGCCTCGGACCGTGCGCATAGAGGAGGGGAAGGAGTAGGGAGAGGAAGCATGGAAGAGGAGGGGGAGGGGGAGGCGGGGGAGGGAGGGGATAAGGAGGAGGGGGTTAGCAGGCGCAGCAGGGGGAGGGGGGTCAAGAGCAGGATGGGGAGGATGAGGAGCGACGAGCAAGGACGAGGTTTGATTGGGGATGGGGTGGAGGGCGGACAGAAGGGTGTCCAGAAGTTGAGAGAACACGGTTCGGAGAGACACATTCGTATTTGTTGGACTTGGGGGTGATGGTGCGCACGTCCCCGACAATCGCGGACGCCAACGTTTTCTGTCTACGAGTTCGATCTCATAAAAGCATGGTTGGGATTGTGAAGTTTTTGTGATATGCATCATTTCAGCAGTTGTGAGCGCTGCGTTGTCACATTGCAGCGTGGGGGTGCTGAGTTTTTTTGGTTGCCAGGCAGCCTGGTGTTCCCTCTAGGAAGGCAGTGTAGTATATTTCCTGGCTTTGCTGTAAGGACGCTCCGTCATGCAACGCGACCAGTTTCTGACTAGTCCGAAACACACGGTTTAGTTATTGTTGTGGAGATGTATCGGGACCATGGCGGCATTATACGTGTTGGCGTTGGCAGTTTACCATATGTCCCATCTCGTTTGCGTTACCCTTCCAGTTCCCCCCTTCCGCAGTGGGTGAAGAACTTGGACTTTAAGATGGACTCCGATGGCATGGTTCTGCTCGCATCGTCTCCTGATTGATCGACGGTAGAGATATGCGGAAGGGCGATGATCGAGATTGGGATTGGGCGTTCATTTGTTGAGAGCAGCGTTAGCGCGAGAGCATGGCAAGCATGGGATGATGTAAGGCAAGAAGATAACGTGTGGGAAGTAACATTGCTGCACTTTTCAATACCTTCTGGGGCTTTGGTTGCAGTCTGGTGACCCTGACCCCTTTAAGGCCACTTTCCTGTGGCAGCTCGGTTGCTCCCACGTTAGATGGTCTGGAGTTGCACAGCGTAGTGGAATCGTCTGGGTGAGCGAGATGCGAAAGAGATGGGTCTGATAAGGAGGTGGTCCGTATCTTGTTATTTTCGGCAAGGCTTGCCACCGTGCCATCTTCTGATGGGCACGGGCGGGATCCCCGCAGCAGCGCGCACTACTTTGGCGTTCGCTTCGCTTCGCTTCGCCATCGTGCCAGTGCAGCGTCGAAGTACGCGCAGGTCGGTTCTGCTGATGCCTTCGTGCAGGCTCCTTGCGAGGTGCGAACCCACCGGCCTGGTCTCTCTTGGGTGCAAGATGGGTGTGGCCAGAGGCCTGCGGTAACAGTGGTGCTTCTGGTCTCGGGCCAGCGCTCACCACGGAGGAAGAAGAGAGAGAGAGAGAGGATCGGGCAGATCCGCCCAGCAGGCCCAGGAACCCTGCACGGACGGGCGACGATGACGACGAAAGGCTCCCCGCGCCAGGTGACCTTCAAGCAGGCCGCGCAGTCGGCCATCCGCATCGCCTGCTTCTCCGATAACGACGAATCTTCGAAGGCCCGCGGCCCGCGCCGCCGCCGCCTCTTGGGAGCGATGGGAGAGAGGATGAGGAGCAGCAGAAGGAGGAGGAGATGGAGGGACGGAGGGGGAGGGAAGGGGAGGAACGGAGGGAGACAGGGAGAGAGATAGAGAAAGAGAGTGAGAGAGAGAAGAGAGAGAGAGAGATAGAGAGTACAACGGTATAGGGGAGTTTTCACAGCTGAGTACTGAGCAGAGACGGGGACTCGGACGCACCTTATTACATCTGTAATTATTTGTGTGCTCAAGGTTTTTCGGGGGGCCCGGCTCCCATGGAGGCTGTGCTCTTCGAGCTTACCTGGGGCGTTTCGACCGCCCTCGCCGTGCGATCCTCGGCTGCTCCCTACGCAGATTGCGCCTGCCAGTGCGCGCCCGTGCTGGTTTGCGCCGAGGGCGCGTTCCCGCGGGAGGTCAGGCTTGAGGCGGGTTTTGAATGGCCCAAGCCGACGGCCTGTCCCTGTTTGATCGGTCTCGGCGCGGTCGCCGGGGCCTCGGCGCTGCTGCTCGTGCAGCGCTGAGAGGCGCCAGTCTCCGCTGAGGCGCCGATGCAGACAACGCGGCTGGCCAACTTCAACGGCTCCGCATCCGCCCGCGCGGACCTGCTGCAGGAGGCTCGCGCGCAGCTCGCCGAGATCGCTGCCCGTCGGCTCGCCTCGCCTGACGCCTCGTCTGTCGCCATGGCGGCTCCTCACCAACTCGTCGCGGCGGGCCTGTCCGAGGGCGACTTCCTGGCTGTCCGATACCGACTGTCTGGTCAGCGCCTTTGGCATCGTCGCTTGGTGGCGTTCGTGCCTGGCGGGACCACCACTGTCGGGATACTGATTCCTGATACCGATAAGTGCGATGAGGAGCTGGTCGACTTGGCGAACATCGCACAGTGGACGACGCTCCCGCAGGGCACGATCGGGCCTGCTGCCCCTGCCATGGCTGGTAACGACGTTTACGACTTCAGGCACATTCCGTTGCAGGCTGTGGTGGGTGCCGCTCGAGCTGCGTCACACGCGAAGATGGGTGCCGCTCCTGTCGGGCCCATCGTGGTCAACCTCACCGGGCGCGCGGGGGCCGGAGCGCCAGCGGGCGCAGCGCCCCCTGTGGCTGGCGGGGCTGCTGCTGCGGCGGGTGGAACCTGGCGGCGGCCTCGCGGAGCTGGCGGCGGCCCTCGGCGGCGTGGCAGCCGGCCCTGCCGCTGCGGTGGCGGCCCCGGCGGCCCTGCAGGTGCCCGTGGCCGCGCCCGCCGCCCTCGCTGCTGGTGCGGGCGCCCCGCCAGCTGGGGGCCGGGGCGGCTCCCGTTGTGCCCGCCGCCGTGGCCGTGCCCTGCGCGCCTGCCGCCGCGGCTGCAGGGCCAGCGGCGGTCGCCCTGGCGGCGCCAGCTGCGGCTGGTCCCGGCGGCGACGCTCGGATTTTCGGCGTACTGGTGGACGCGCGCGGGGTTCGCCGCGTGGGCTTCCGCGCCACGGTCACGCGGATGGCGGAGCTCCCCTTGCCAGACTGGCCCGTGCGCTGGCTGCGCACATCGCGGCGATGGGTTGCGGAGTTCATGGCGCAGCGGAGCGGCATGTCGACGGCTCATCATCAGCGGTGGCTGGCTGAGACGGGCCTCGATCTTGCCGAGCCCGGCCTGGGCATCCACTAGACGGGCTGCGTCGTCCTCGAGACCGCCATCACCTACGACCCGGAGCACGCCACCAACCTGGCTCACCTGGAGCGCATCGCTCGCTCGATCCAGATGCAGGAGGAGAAGTGCTGGCTTCTCGCGGGGCCCGACGACGCAGCGGTCGTGCGCAGGTCGGCCACGATGGGGGCGTCGCAGCTTGCGGGCCCCGCGCGCGTGCCCCCCGCCCCCCGCGACCATCTCGCCTCGGAGCTGCAGGAGGAAATGGCCGTGGCGAAGGAGCAAATGAAGGCGCGCGAGGAGCGCGCAGGCGGACAGCCTGGCGGCGGGCGCGGAGGAGGGGGCAAGCATCGCGGCAAAGCAGGGCAGAGGGTCTGGTGCCGCAGGCGGGGGGGGCTAGCGCCTAGCTTTCCCCCTGGGCGGCTGGCCTGGCCCGCCGTCCCCCGCGCCCCCCCAGGCCTCCGCGGGCGCCGACAGCGCTGCCCGCGTCCGTGGCGACGCCGGGCTTCCTGGGTGCGAAGACACTTCTTCCCGCTGCCGCAGCTCGCCGCTTCCGCTGCGGCGTCTGGTTCGCCGCGCGCCCGGCGGCGCGCGCGGGCGAGCCGCGCATTTGGGCGCGCCCCCGGCCGTGCCGGCGCCGCCGCGGGCCCCAACCATTTTCTTTGCGGCGACATGTCTTCGCCCGATCGGCCCCGACGGCCGGGCAGCGCCGCGCCGCATCTCGCGTCTGGGACGCAGCCGCCGCCTTCGGCCCCGAGCCGGACGAGCACGGCGACGACGCGTCCGATCCTGGCGGGGTAAGCCGGGAACTCCTTGCCTTGCTGGGTCCGCGCTGCTTCCTGATGGCAGCGAGCCCGCCGCCCCATGCGTGCCGGGCCCCGTCTCATGGCCTGGTGCGTTTCAGCTTCCCGCGCCGCTCCCTGGGTTGCACGGTGGGCGAGACGCCGCCTCGCTGCGGGGGCGGGGGCGCCGCGTGCTTCGAGATGCGGGGGGGGGGGGGGGCGGGGGTGCGCGCAGGCGTCGGGGCCTGTCCGCGCTTGCCCTGCGCGGGGGCCACCCCGCGAAGCGCGCCGAGCTCCTTGGCGCGACGGCGGGGCGCCGTTCGCTCGCCCTGCTCCCCGCCCGCGGGCGTCGGGGCAGCGTGGGGGTCTCTTTTGTCCTTGCGAAGAATGGGAAGTTGAGGGCCACCCTTGGCGCGCCAGTGGCGGACTGTCGTTCGCCGGCGCCCCGAGGGCCCAGCCGCCGTCGGCCGCCCCGGGGGCGCCTCGAGGCGGGCGGCGTACGCTCCAGCATCGGCTCCGCCGACCTGGGCGTCGCTGTCCACTGCGCGCAGGTGCCTGCCGGCATAGAAGAGCTCCTTATTTCGCCCCCGAGTCATCCCCGCGAAGTTTCTGACGCCCTTTTAGGCGCGCGGAGGCCGGCGCGGGGGGGGCGACCTCCTGCTCCGCAAGTGGCGGTGATCCCGATGGGTTTCAGCTGGGCCCAGCCCTGCGCCTGCGCCAGATCGCGCCGCAGACCCCCCTGTGCCGGGCCGGCCTCGCGCCCGAGAACCTGGTCTTCGACGGCCGCAGCGGCCGCTAGCACTCCCGCGACCCTTCCGCGGTCGCGGGCGCCGGCTACGCGGGCAACTTCGCCCTCCTCGGCGGCCCCCCAAAGCGCGTGAGCAAGCGGCTGCAGTCGGTCGCGGATGACCTTGAGCAACGCGTCTAGCCGCCCACGAGATCGAGGAGCTCTCTCGGGGCCGCGATGCCCCGAAGCTTTTATTGCGCAGGGCGCGGGCTCAGCCTTCGGGCGCGCGACGCATGGTGGCCTCGCGCTGCTATCCGCGGCGCCCTGCGCCGCCGGGGGATTGGCGGTTCCTTGTGCGAGTGCTCGCCGGCCGCGTCACATGGGGCCTCCCGTTCAGGCATGGGCCGCCGCGCGCGACGCGGGCGACCTGCGCCTTCGCGCAGGCCGCTTGTCCCACAGTGGCGCCCCTGTGGCCGGCGGCGTGGCGCGCGCCCCAGCTGGTTCACGACCTGATGCCATGCTGCCCGGGCGACCTGGGCGCCCCTTGGCACGGGCGGGTCGCGCGCGCAGGCGTCTCTCCGCGGGCGCTGGGCGCCGTTGCTCGCCGCGCCCTGACGGGCGTCGCGGGCGCCGCCGGCCGCGTCGCTGAAAAGGCCCTGCCCCCGCCCGTCTTTGCAGCTCGCCCTCTGGTCGCAAATCTGCGTTGCACTAATGTCACTTCGGCGCAGTGCGCAGGAGGACCACCACCGTCTGCGCCTGGGGCGCCTTTCCTTCGCAGCCTGTCGACGAGACTTGCCCAGGGCGCCGCGGGCTTTGCAGCAGGACTGGCAACGCGCGCGTTGTGCTCGAGGGAGACGGCGAGCAGGTTTGCCAGTGCACTGCTCTCGCTGTCGAGTGCCCTTCTCAGCGCGCCGCCGCCGCCGCCAAGTGGATTGCCCAGTCTCTGTCTTTCCAGCCCGGGTGGGCCCTCCAGTCGCTTGCCATGCAAGTTGCTCAAAGTCAATGCGGGCATCGGCCGAATTGACCTTCGGGATCG